GGGAGCATTACCATCTGTATCTAGAGATGCTCTTTCCAGTCCCCAAGCCCTCTGGTCCTGGTGTCTGGCCTCCTAATGTGACCCTTTAGACCCCCACCTCCCTATCCTGTTTGGGAACTTCCCGTTTCCAGCAGTATGAGGGAGCTGGGGGGCCCTGCCAGAAGTCTGCTTAGATCTTCTGGGGGGTGAGGTAGGGGAAAGCATGTCATTCAGTAGAGGGCTCCCAGTTCATCTGTCCCGACAAAGCTGGGCTAGAGGAACCTGGAGGGGGTGCCCCTCGCCCTCCTCCACTTTTCCCTTCACTCCTATCTCCCCATTTTCCATCCTTTGCCCTCTTCTGTCCTCCAGCTCTTTACTTTGCTTCCCCTTGGTGGCGCCTTCTCTTCCCCTCCTTCCTGTCCCTCCAGCCCAGCTTTGGGGACATCATCCCCCTGGGGAGAAGTAAGGGGAAGAGCATTTTGATGCCCCCCCCCTTCCCAATTCAGCAGGCACCTGGAGCCCCTCTCCCCACCCACTCCTCCAAAGAAACATCTCGAATTCTTGATGGAATGTATCCCTATTCTCAGTGAAACTGTGAGGAGGGGACTAATCGTACTGGGGTATATAAGGGTCAGCCCCCCACCTTCACCGTCTATGGGCATTATATTTAAGGGGCAGTTCTTGGACTGGATTTTCTGGCTGGGGGTTTGGGGGGGCCGGGGTAGGGGTAGGGTAGTGCGTCTGCTATTACAAGGAGCAGGGAAGGGCCTAAGGCAGGAGGCACTTTAGGGAAGGACTGCTTCTCCTCCCCTGCGGTACCCCACTGGGCACCCCTCTCTGGACCTGACCTTTGTTAAATCCTTATTAGTGTGCAAATCATGAAGTCTCTGTCCCACCCATTGTGTTGCAGAGACAGGCCAGGTCTTTGGAGAGGTGTCAGCCCAGGGCAAAGCAGAACTGGGGTGCTGCAAGGCCTGTTTGGAGCATCATGTATTGTTACAGGGCCTGCGCCCCCCCTTGCTGCTTCCCCACTGCTCACCTGGGCTGCCACTGCCTCCACCCTCCTGGTTCCGCTGGCCGGGCCAGGAGAGGATGGGGGATAGGAATCCAGGGGCGCCAGGAGACCCTTGTATATAACGGGGCAGGGGCAGGGCTGTTCTGAGTGCTCTGAGCTTCAGCTCAGGAGTCCCATTTTCCCTGGATGGAGAGGGATGCAGAGGCGGAGGCGCAGAGGGGATTTCCTTGTCTCCTGCCCCCAGTGGTGAAGTCACTCACCTCTCCTCAGCCTTCCCCTCCAGACCACCAGCCAGGGAGGGGAGAGGAAGGAGGTCACAGCCAAGTAGGCCGGCTAGTGACAACTTCCCTCCTTCCCGCCATCGTGAGCCATCCTGAGATGTCTGTACAATAGAAACCAAACCAAAAGGGCACCCTCGGTCGCCGGGGGCGGGTGGGGAGGGGGGCGGGAAGAAGGGATGTCTGTCTGTCGGCCCCTCCCCCTCTCCACTCCTTTCCCACTAAGGCAGAAGACTGTTAACACTAGGGGCTCGGCAGATGTATCCACCCTTACCGACGGAGCCAAACCTAGAAAGCAAGCAAAACACGCATAGTGACACACGAAACAGGAGAGAAAACACGAGAGGGAGCGAGATAGGCGACCAACACAGAGGAGAGAAAACAAAAATAGCAAAAAAAGAAAAAAAGCAGATGTGTGGGTCGGAAATTTCCATGATTTCTGTTTTGGACATATATTACCGTATAAATGTAGCAAAGAACCTGGGCTAATATGAAAAAAAAAGACTTTTTATTAGGTAATTTATTATATGAAAAGGATATTTTATTTTATGATAAAGTGATAATTAAAAAAATAAAAAAACTTTAGAAGGTTTAGAATATATGTAGGGAGAGAAGAAAAAAAATACATTTGTATTCAGAGTTAAATCTTAAAAAAAAAAAAGTGTTTTTAATATATGTTCGGGTTTACGTTCCTTTTTTCCCCCCACTTTTTTTTGGGGAGAAATGTCATTTGCTTTTCTTGGGGGAGCATTCTGGGATGGATGGTGGAGAGGGGCTGGGGGAACCCGGTCCCTTCTGGGGCCCTGCAAGTAGATTGGATTTCACTCCATGGGCCCCTCCTCCCCTCTCCCCCTCCCCCTCAGGGGAGCCGGCAGAGCCAAACAAAGAAAGGGATTAACCAGAAAGGAAGAAGCTGAAGGACTGAGGATCCTGGGGTGTCCCCCCTCCTTCCCCTGCCCTGTCCTAGGGGCAAGTGAGGAGGGCAAGTCCAGAGCTAAGGCCCAACAGGCCTGCGGGAACCCTCAGAGAGGTGTGAGATTTCAGAGAAATAGAATTTTTTTTTAAACCAAAAAAAAAAATTAAAAAAACGAGAGAGAGAAAGAGAGAGAGAAAGAAGAAAAAGAAAAAGAAAGAAAGAGAAGAAAGAAAGAAAGAAAGAAAGAAAGAAAGAAAAAGAAAGAAAGAAAGAAAGAAAGAAAGAAAGA